GCGTTGTGAAATGTCACAAAAATCTGTCGTGATCGTGTAAACTGCAATACTTTGAGCCATGGTGAGATTCGGTGACTTCAAACAGTTTGTCTCTTCTCTACACACTCGGCGACATATAAAACTACTCACATTAACGTCGAATGATGGGAGGTTGTTTTCCCGTTACAGGGGCAAGGTCACCAAACGCGTGAATATTAAATGTAAAGAAGAAGCAAAGAAAGGTCTGATTAAAACATTGTCTGCAATGAAAGAAACCCTCCCACGTGACCTTATTTAAAGGGGGGGGGGGGATACAACAATTCAGGAGCGGGAGGGTGGGGGGCACAACACGGTCAATGTTAAACGATTTGGAAACAAATGTGAAACGGCATAATAGAGGTGTGTTTTGTTTAGATCGCGTAAATAAATGTGTCGTTAAAGCCCGCCACCACCCGAAACAGTCAACCAGTAAGGGTTGTCACGTAAACAGAACATGCCAATTCGTCACTAGTACAGCACACAAGTGTGTTGGAGAGCCAAGCCACAACATCTACAATCTGAATATTATGTTTTGCTAGTAATTACAACTAGCTTCATCAGGTGGCAGTCAGATTTGTGTCGCATGTGGTGGGTGAAGCGTGGTTGCTACCATCTCTTTTAGTTTGTTTGGCCAAGTATGTATGTTGAACTTCTTTCACAACGTACGTCACAAACAATGCTAATGGAAGGTGGGGGGGGGGGACAACGTGGAAGAGTAAGCCAAAGAGTAAGCCAACATCTATTCCAGAGGAGCTTTTAAGAGCTCCTTCTTACTCAGATTGCAAATGTTGTGGCTTTGCTCTCCAAAACATCGATGTGCTGTACTAGTAACGAATTGGCATGTTGTTTACTTGACAAACCTTACTAATTGGCTGTGTCAGGTGGTGGTGGGTTTTAACGACACATTTATATATTTACACGATCTAACCCCAAAAAAACCTATTATGGATGATATTGGTCGCGAAAGCCTACGTGTTAAACAAATGCGAAACGCTCAACAAAATGAGTAACGATACGGACTGCAGCTGTCTATCGTGCATTTTGCTCTTGTTTTAACCCACTCTGTATATATTCTACCGAAATTTTGTTATTTTATTGAGAGAATTTAGAAGCGGGGCTGAGCCCACAGACGCTACGAGGTATAATGCATTACACTTACGGATGAGTTTGTAGAAAGCTAAAAAAATAAACAGAGCACGTGTTATGAAATTGCAATTGAAATAGAGTTACTGAGTTGGTTTATATTGTCGTTGTGTTTATTGGTCAATTAACATGAGCAGCTGCAATAAACTAGACCTTATTGTTTCTGTAATTATCAATCAACAACATGGGACATGTAGGATAATTACGCATATTTATCATAAAAGATGTAACTAAATGAATGTATACCACTCGTTTCACTATAATACACTCAGATTTGAGTGTTTCCTAGAACTTCATATTCCATAAATTGAATGCATCTATTTAGGTCAGCAGCGAGATGTAGCTCTGATACATCAAAACGCACTTTCTAGTTCAAGGCTCCAGATGTTCCCATTCCTTATGCGTCTCGTCTCAAAAGGCACGCTGTCGCGCATAAATACTGCACGTACGATGTAAAGTTGAGCGGGTGCTCACATGAAGCCGGGCGGGGGGGGGGGAAATAACCATTTGAAAACCGATGAGCACAGATCAATTATGAGAATTAATGCACATCAATTTATGTACAGAGCCAACGATGCGTTTACTGTATTCGGTGTTTACACCTCTTGTGGGGATGGTAAACGCTGTTGAGCCCCTGTGCCAAGCACTCACGCAGGTGCTCGGGCTAATTAGTCTGCGAGACTGAGGCCCTGTCCGGTGTCCATTAGCAGCGTGGTGCATGGGAAACACGCGCTATGGGTCGGGTTCGCCACCGGCTCAGTTGACTGAGTAACGAAGTAGCTCTGTCTGCATGCTCAAGTGTGCAACGGACCATATCGGTTGGTAATTCTTATACCATCAATGAAACTTCCACATGATGACCGATGGAAATTCCACATGATTAGACGACTGCTGTCATTTTTTTAAAGTGATAATCATTTTATCCACCGCGAAGGAATTATGAAATGAGTCAAACGACCACCAGGATTTGAACGTGGAATGCTCTCAGTATGTGGTGCATATGCGTGCAGTAATATTTAAAATGTAAATGTTTTTGTTGTTGCCACTTCAGATGTAGGCCAGGACCACTTAGACACAGCTTTCATTTATGCTTAAATGATGGTAAATTATTTTGCATTAATCTTGACAAGGAAATAAAAGAAAACTGCCATTTAATGGAGCTCAACAGCAATGGATGCATACTGTCATGTCAAGCATTGTTTCTGATCATGAATAAGAACACATGGTAGGGAGTTTTATATTGCATCCCTTAACAATAACAACACATTTTGATTTAAAGCTTTCGTGACTGCAGTAATTAATATTCTTAGTTCTTTCGGTAAAGTCACGTTGTTGTTTCCCTTCAACGTGACTTTACCGAAAGAACTAAGAAAATGAATAACAACAAATCTTCATGTTTTAGTCCCTGGTCAAGATAGAGCGGACAAACAGCCGTATATTACGAAACTGTTGAAAGTTAAGGCTCAAACAAGGAACTGCGTTGGTAATGGTGCACAACAAAAGCGAAAATTTTACAAGAACATAAATATTTTAAAGCAAGACATTACAGTAAACAATTTAATTTTAATTGACAGAATGTTTGAGTGATTCAATAGCTTTGCCACGGCTTGAAAGACAAGATCAAATGAATTGGTGAATTGGGATTAACTGTAATATATGCAGAGGGCTCTGTGACTAAACATTTCTACCAATGTGGCTCAATTGTGTCCGTGCCAAGGAACGAACCAGTTTCAACGTCTTGGTATATTTTTTTATTGAGAGGCAACATTATATTACTTTAATTGTATCAGTATGCTTTATGTATTTATTGTTCCATCACTTGCCACTACTGTGTCGATACTTCCAGTGGATCCAAGATCTGACACGGGCAACAGACATCCAACTTCGTGCACAATGCTGCTGTGACACAAAAAAAAGTGCCTTGGAAATGCGTTGATTCGTCACGTTTGAACGTTTAAGATTGCATCATTTACAGGTTGCAGTTCACCCTGCTCAATCAACCTCGCGCCAAATCCCTTTCTAAAACATCACTCCTTCGCGTGTGCAGGCAGGCTCTTGCGGCACGTGACAAGATCTCGGTTATTACTGCAAACTGTATAATTGCGGAAAGCCCATACAATGCGAAACGTTACATATGTTGGTAAGAGCGCTGCGGTTTTTTTTTATAACAGCCCGCAAACGTACTCACTTTCCCCCAGTTTTATAGATGGTACTCGGTCTCCATCCTCCTTGCCCCCCCCCGCTCCATCGACGCCGCCGTCCCCCCCCCCCACAAAGCAAGACCCAGGCGCCACAAATTCCCACCGCTGCTAATCCGTCACACCCGTCAGTACAGAATCACACCGCTACAATAACCAAAACATCGTCAGGAATTACTTACATCTCCTTTGTGGTTATTGTATTATTTTGTTAGTTCCACTTTACTAATACTGGAGCCGATTGGGGGGGGGGGCTGTATTCAACGTAGACGTAGGTGGTGAGCATCTGTGCTTATGGCTCACATGATGAAGCACTCGTTTATGAGAATCCTGCGCAGTGGAAGTCTTTAAATGTTTTATAGATGATACGTCTTGGATGCATGCGCGTGGACAGATCGAAGGTCAGCGTTTGGCTCTGTGAACACATTTACATTTTACCTATTCCCTCACAGCAGTAGCTTTTCTGCCCTTCCCACGGATAAAGTATATTATGCGTATTTTGTATAAATAATTGTGTCGCCCCGTCTTAATGGTCCCCATCTTCACTCGAGCGTGTTATTACTTTCGACTGAAAATGCGCCTATAAAATTACGGGGATTTAACGTCCCTTCACAACCACCAGCCACAGATTAATCACGCTCCTACCTTCAAAAAGGTCAACAAAAAGAGAGCTGTGTATATATTATAGATTACCAATAAAAGCTACATTACCAATGCCTTAATAGAAAGCAGATGTTTTTTTGGTCTTGAAATAGATCTATTTTAAACACTCAACAAATTGCGTCCAATAAGAGCGCATTACTTTTGCCTATATGCAGATATTTAGGAGCATTTTTAACGAAAAAAAGTGAGAAAAAGCCATCAACTTTCAGACCTTTATTTAAGGCTGCAACTTTCGTTTGCAATATTGTAAACATGAAAAAAATATCTACTTTTTATTTCTACATCATATCATTTTTTTCGCACTCTATGGTCAATATAAGTAAAACAATTCGTGTTACTAAAAGCACACGACAGTTAAAACGTCTCATATTACCCATAATTGCATTCTGCATGTATGACGGCATAACAAGCCTCACGCTGAAAGTTCAAGGCAACTGTTCAAGGAAATTGTCAAACACAGGGCACTTGGTCTGTTAAGCACAGGTTAGGTACTTTTGTAAATACTGGCACAGTGCAATAAAATGGGCGCATTCAATTTTACACCTCCTGCCGTATGTCAACAAACAGGTTTCAAAACACGTTAATGTAAGTAATGTGTTTTTGTTATTGTAATATAAACATATAAATGTCTTAATAAGGTAGACATGATCCATGAGTCGGACCAGTTTAGTCTATGGAGAGTGGCCAGGAAAGTACGTGTCAACCCCATAGAAGAGCGTTGTCAAATCGTTCACACTACCCCGTGATTTTTACGAAGTCAAGAATGCCACACTGTCACGAGATGCCACATCGGGGGCTGATGTGAAAACTAAAAAAAGACAAGACACACACACCGAGCATTCAGCTCCCACACAGGCACCCACCCAGTTTCGTCTTTTATTATTGGTTCCTCTATGCCTGCTGTGACACACCAGAGCACACTGATCTCGTGTCCACCGATCGTTAAGGTGACCCCGGGTAAACGACAGGCTTGCTCACCTTCTTGAGACGTGGCTCCGTTTAGAAGCAACCAAATTATCAGCAAACTCCATCCACCTGAACTTCCCATCTTCAGAGCTTCTGTTATCTCAGTGCATCTCACAGCTGCCAAGTGCTTCACTTTGGGGGGGGGGGAGGAGGAGGAGGGTGACGGTGGTGGGAATAAAAAAAAATACTGTCAAATAAATAAACGGATGTTGAAAGCTGTCCTTCTCAGGTGTGTTGGTAACTTCCACGGTAGGTAGGGCAACGTCGAGCCTCGGGTACCTCACCAGCGTTGGGAGCGCAGAACGCTCAATGCACAGAGGCAGTTGGCGCACACTGTGGTGTATCGCACGCACGTGTCGCGTCTCACGCAGCACACACACGCGCACGCCCGTTTCGCATCACGGGCCCGCCCGCCCGCGCTCACAGCCCCAGTCCTCCTCCTATGGTGCACCGCCTGTACAAGACAAGGGTCGGCCCAGACTATGGGGATGGGAGTGCGCTGATGTGGGGGCGGAGGGGGGGGGTTGTATAACGATGGGGAATGTTGAGTTTGGTATGGGAGGGAGGGGGTGAGTAAGGAGGTGTGGAGTCTGAAGGATCGAGTCTCACCAGGGTGGGTTGGGGTTGGGGAGGGATCAGAGAGAGAGAGAGAGGAGATGGAGTTTTAAGGCAATGAACAAAGTGTGTGTGAGTGCATTAATGTACGCGTGTGTCTAACTTGCTCGCTAACGGCACTTGGCCCCAACAGTCCGTTAAGGCTATACGGGGATATTTGTATTTGCGTAACTTTACAGGCGAATTATATGAGGGTTAAAGTGAAACTGCAGCATTGTTTTTTTATGCAGTCTTATTATTCACTTTTTCACGTTAACCTTACTAAAATATAATTTTAATTATTAAATTGAGTGCCTAGCATATACGCTCCTTTCAAGTATATCGTTCAGCATTTAATTACTGTTGCACTAACTTTCTCATGAGAAGATAGCTTTCGATATGTTTACTGGGAACGCTAAAATCCTGCTGTGAAATGAAATCGCTACAAACTTAGATTTTCAGAACATTTCAGTAGCAGAAATAATAGAGCGTCGGCCTGTCTGGTTAAAGAGTGTTCTGTGTGATAAGACACGCTATTACTGCTAAATTTACCCAAGAATGTCAGTGTGTAACGCGTGTGACGTCACTGCGCGTCGACCAGCCCCCCCCTCATTAATAATCATTAAGGTGACGTCCTCCAAATGGACCCCCACCATTAGCGGCTGACGTCACTCCACATGGGGGGGGGGCGCCTCCTCCCCCCTCCTCGGCGTCAACTGACAACCCTCACTACAACGGCAGAACCCTCACGTCACGTGATCTCCGTAACGTTGTTGAGACATCAAAGTAAAAAGGACGTCATGATGAACAAGGGATTATAACCTTAAAATTAAATAGGTCTGTGTCACCGCGGCCTTACAAATTGCACACGCATTGGTGCAATTAATGTCACGTCGCGGTTTGCTGTTCACTTGCAAGTTTCAGATTTACTGCAATACACCCGTCCTTGGACGGGCAAAAGGCTAGTCTTTTTATAACACTTTAAATCTGATCACCTGAACCATACACATTTCCATATGAAATAATGCAGGAGTTTAATGTCATCTATTTTAAACACAGTAACAAGTCCTCTGAAACAACAACTTATATCATCTGATAAGTAGCTCCAGACATACCTGGATAAGACTTAAGTCAAATTATAATTACGGTCATGTCGAAAGCGTAGTGAAGTATAGTTAAGATAAAGATCCCCCCCCCTCCCCTATAGCCTTGATCAGACTGCAGGGGCAAGTGTTGTTATCCGGCACCTATGAAGACCGGTACGGCACGCAAGGAAGTGAGTGGCGAGCACCACACTGGGCCGCCTTCATCCCCCCAGTGCTAATATTCACACACCGCGTCAGGTACTCATTTAAGGCTGAGTCGATGAAGTATGGTTAAACAACCCCACACGGACCGACACTTCACAAAAGGGCCTTAACATCCAGTAGCCTCTTAACGGTGACTCACGAACAACTCACTCCAAACACCCCCGGATATTGCCCTGTGCACGGTTCACACGCTATCAACACAATAAAAGAGACAGCCTTTAACTTATTCCAACCTCCCCCACGCCATCTACCCTCCAACCTCCCATCAACGTTGGTCGGGGGGGGGGGGAGGGGGTGGAACTCCACCTCCAATTCAGCGAGACGACTCCACCCCGACGTTTTCGCCGAGCCACCCAACTCGCGGTCGGGCTGTCACCCTCTCTGTGTGCCATTCCAACTCGTGCCCCCGCCTGGACCCGGACCCAGTTTCACGCGCCACCCGACTCCGTGCTGCTGCTGCTGCTGGTGTCTTATCACACCGCGCGCACGCGGTGTGCGTGTTGCGTGCCCTGCCGCGAGGTCGACTCAGCCTCAAATGAGTACCTGGGTGCGGTGTGCAAACATCGCCGCTGGGGAGATGAAGGGCGGCCTGGCGCGGTGCTGGCCACCCGCCACACTTCGTGTGCCCTGCCGGCCTTCATAGGTGCTGCTGGCTAACAGCGCTTGCCCCGACAGTCTGTTAAGGCTACACGGGGGGGTCTTTGTCTTTGGTGTGTGCCCTGCTGCCACCGCGAATGCGTCACAATCTTCGCCCTCTCGGGTCTCATTTTGCAAACGCGTTTCGCATAAAACCCGCAAATTGCTGTTCACTTTTTGTGGTTGGTGGAGGTGGCTAAATACAGATTTTGCACATTACATTTTAAAGTCTCACTTGAAGTCGCATTGTCTGTCGGTCACGTTGCTGCGTAGCGGTTCTTTCGTTACTGAATATCGAATTGGACCAGCTATATCAGTCTTGATTTGAGCTTTCGTGACTGCATGAATCCATACTCTTTGGTTCTTTCGGTAAAGTCACGTATCGAAACGTCACGTGATCTATTATTTTTTCTACCTACGTGACTTTACCGAAAGAACCAAAGAGTATATCAGTCTTGTTTAACTAATAGACACGACCTTTTGATATATTGTGTGAGAGTGGTATAATATATAGGATCAAGGGGGTTATGCAGTCTGTCTGATTTTCGTAGTTTCATGACGATTGTCTTTAATCATATTAATTTAAAGCAAGTATTTTATTTTACTTCCTTCCATATCATATAAAGCTTAGGGTTTGCACATACGTATGCTACTCAAACATGTTTCACAGTATACAATTGCAGGTATCCAAAATAAACTATTACAAACAGCTTTTCTTTCATACAAGGAAGGGCGGCTTAATAATGTATATTGATAGGCATCACAAAATCGTACACTGTTTTGGGATTAGTGGCCGTAAGACAGCGAGAATGTGTATAAGAACAATTCTTACAATTTATTAATTAAAAAAAACTACGTTTTATATTAGCAGGTAAAGCCCAATGAGCCATGTCGCTTTTTTCAGAAGCGACCTGGCCACAAATGATAGCTCAACCAAGTTGCTTATCGTGTGGACATTTATAGCAGGCAAAGGCTCTAAACGCGTGTTTCTAAATGCGAAGGGAAACACCAGAGGATCCGGAGAAAAATCCACGCCACCACGGGGAAAGAACATGCAAACTCAAAATATGCAGGCGTCAGAGTCGAGATCGTACTCACGAACTCCTGCATACCAGGCAAGGGAGACTAACATCTCCTAGCCACCGTGGCGCCCAAAATATTAGCAATAGCATCTTTTTTTAGTATTTCGTGATACGGGAATTGGTATAACTTAATAAAATCATGCACTTTTTGGGAGTAGATAGTGTTTGCGAGGTTTATTTATCCACTCAGAAGACCTCTGACTGTCATCTTATTTGATGCTGTTTATTGCAAGTCTGTTATTGCTCCCCGTAAAGCTGCCAGAGACGTGGGAAAGTGCGATACGGCTGTCAGTGCTGCACCCTGCTGGCGTGGCACACGCAGACAACCCGAATGAAATGCGCATGCTGCAAACGCTCTTTGTGCCGTGACTTTCAGCAAGTGCTGTGATTACAATAAATCACATGTTAAAATACATGATGCAGCCAGTGCAAGGCTAAACCTTTAAATGACTGCATAATCAAATGCAGAATGTTGGCCTATCTCAGCTGGTTGTGAATCCTTGTACGTGCTAGACTAGGCCCTGGACATGAATAACACGCGTTTATAGGTACCTTGATAACGTGACGTTACGTCAAACAGCTGCATGAGCGTGGCGAACAGAAATACAGTGACATTATACTTACAATTGTCAACGGACGGTAATGCGCAGCAAAGCATCTTCGTGAACAATATACGAGATGCCCATTACAAACTTACACCATCATCCACAGCATTCATTTAGCAATCATCATGATCATTACGATCCATGGACAGCTAGTGTCCACTGCACATTTCGTCATTTGCTTTAAGTTTTCTCTGTCTTGTGACAATACGCTCAAGTATGAGCCACATCTTTCTGGCACCGATCTCTTATGTTGTCGTCAAGCCATTCGCTGTTAGATCTTAGTCTTCTTCTGGTTCTTTCCGTTCTTCCAAACAACAACACTTTTAACGTTCCTCTTGTTGTGCCTACTACACGTGTGTCCAAACAATGCCAGTTTCCTTTTCATCACTGCCTGCATCAGCAGGTGTTCTTCTATGGAAAACCTTTTTCTTCTACGTTGGTCGCTCTTTGGATCCAGAAAATTATCAATACGCATCCATAAAGGAAATCACACTCTTAAATGTTAAAAGTGACAAAACCAAATATTTAGATACATTGATACACCTACAAAGCACTGCATATGTCAACAAACACGTGAAGTGACCAGTTGCACATTAAAATTAAATTATACCGAAACAAGTTGCATAGCCATTCAAAGAGTGCCTGCATTCAGTTGAAACGCTGGTGTGAACAATCCATTGCTGCTCATTTAAATGCAAAAGGTTGCAAAGTCACTATTCACCACATTCCTTTAAGATCGGGTCAAGGAGGCATCACAAAAGAGTGCAATGAGTTGTGGTTTCGAGGCTCTAAGTCAGTGAGAATGTGTGATAATAGGCACAGGAAGTGAGGTCACACACGAATGCTCCTTTCACTCCCGTTTAAACGCTATTCTTGAAGTGTGTGTTTATTGGTATAGTAGTTGATTACATAAATAATGACTTCTCCAAAATACAAAAAAATACATGTTAAATTTCAGAAAAAAACAACGTCAAATTTGTTTTCGCGATTTTCTTTGCGATGAACATTGCCTCATTGTTTAGATGGGAGAAAGTAAGATTGGTGATTTTGCTGAAACAAATGCTGGTGGTTAATATCGATCTAGAAAGCCAATAGATGATGGACTGAAACATATTTTATTTGTATATGGAGACGCAAAAATGAGGGCTGCTTAGAAAGTACTGTATACTGGAGTAAACTGTTTGGCATGAAATAGACCAGAATAAAATATAAAATGTAATTTGATTGTGTTAATCCTTAATAGAACGCAGGTCAA